CACATACAGTATACAGCATACACATACAGTATACAGCATACAGCATTAAATACACATCATCCAGTATACAATACAACACACCTCACGGTGTCCTCGAGAGGTGGTTCAGCAAACGTTATACTATCATATCCATCTCCCAACAAGCGGCAGGCACAATTACAGAAGCATACGTATATTGGCAATCACTGTAGAACTAGATCCACCTCCCCGTGCCATCGCGTGGGCATCGCGTTCCATTCAACCCTTACAATACACATTCAAGAGGACTACAAGACTACCGTACCCCACTACACCACACTACACTATAACACACACCACACCACACTAGACTAGACTATCCCGCCGTGATCAACAGCTTCTGAGTGATCGTGACCGTCGCTGTCTCTCGCACCGTTTCCGTCGCCGTGGTGGTGATCTGCGCCGTCTCCGTCTGCGTCTCTGTGACGGTTTGCGTCACCGCGGCTTGGATGTTCGTCACCGTGACAGGCACGACGGCGAGGCCGTCCGAGGCACTTGACGCATTGGGTTCCGGACTCGGACTCGGACTCGAAATCGAGGCTGTCTCCGCCGCGGACGCGGTTGAGGCGGCCGGGGTGGTAGATGGCAGTGTCACTGTCACTGTCGACGTTGCGGGCGTGGCGTCGGTCGACGACGTGACGGGCGTGTTCGGTATACTGGCCAGTCCTAGCGGGATGGTGCTTACTAGCGTTGCGGAAGACGAGGTGGTTGTTGGAGGGTCTTGCTGGGACGGGGACTGGGACTGGGATGTGGACTCGGATGCAGGTGCGGACTGAGCCTCAGTGGGCAGAGTGGACGCAGGGGTCGCGGCATTCCCGTTTGCGTCGGGACTCAGGGTCGTGTATCGGCCGATAGGGCCCGTGAAGGTGGGACTTACGGTGACGAAGACGACTGTGATGGATTGCGTGCCGGGTGCCGGCTCGGGTTCTTGGGCTCCTGTGTCTGGAGAGGGTGCGGGTGCTTGTGCAGGGGCAGGGGATGCTTCCGAGTCCGGCGGGACCGAGTTTGTTGAAGCTGGAGGTGTGGCGGCGGTGACTTCGGCCGTCACGACAGATGTCGCGAAGACGGTCGTCTGAGCTTGCACGGTGGTCGTCGAGGCGGGCTGGTCTTGTGTTTCGGGTTGTGCCGTATTTCGCTGGATTGCCGTCCCCGTGCCTGGCGCCTGGGACGCAGTGTTTGCATTCTGCTCCGCTGAGACGGTCTCCGTTGTTGGAGAGCTGTCTGCTGTGGAAGCTGGTGTCTCTGGTACTGCAGCTGCCTGACTGGCTGGCTGGATGGTGGTCTGGGTCAGAATGCTCAACAAGCTTGTATTATCTCCCCCGACGCCCACGGCCGGGACTGCTCCGTTTTCTGTTCCACTTCCAGTCTGAGCAGGCGCGGTACCGTCTGGTGCAGAAGAAGACGGCTCTGTTCCCGCGGCTTGTCCGGCGCCATTGTCTGTTCCGTTTCCAGCCTTGGAGGCGGCTGTGTTGTCTGGAGTACTCGGTGTCTGCGTCTCGACAGACGCCGCTGCCTGTGTGGCGGCCTGCGTCGCAGGTTCGATGGTTGTCTGGGTTAAAAGACTTATTAAACTTCGATTATCTGTGCCTCCAACGCCCACAGCAGGAACTGCTCCATTCTCCGTACCACTTCCAGTTGGAGTCGCTGATGTGTTTGGTGTTGAGGCGGTCTCTGTCGCAGCTGCCGCATTTGCAGGGTCTGTTGGAGCTTGTCGCCTCCACGGCGACCTGGGCGATAACGACAGGCCGTTGACGACATAGTGTCTAAGAGGTCGGTTGGTATGACGAATTACATTATCTGGTCTGTGAAATCTTTAACACAACAGTCAAGCTCTGCCGCGATAGACGTACCTTTGAATTGGTCCGGCCAATGTAGATGATAGCAAAACTGAAAGGGCTAGCGAGCAAGCAAGGAAATGCATTTCTGATCCAGCAGAATCGCAAACCAGAGCTGATGTAGTATCGAGGCTCGGTCAGTAATGAATGGAAGGACTCAACCAGACAGGACAGTCGACACCGCTGTACAAGCACAAAGGAAATTCGTCGCGACAGAAACTCCAAGTAATGCAAGCGAAATGTTTGTGAGTTATTCTGCATTGAGAGGGACTTCGAGACACCTCTTGAAGTAGCCCATCCAGACGCGTGGCAGATTGCCATCCGGCCTCGCGCGCTGGGCGTCTGTCGCATGTTGCGAATCTAAAAGTGTTGATTGAAACATGTTTCTTCTGTTCTGTGAAACCTGGGCAACGTGTGCGAGAACATGCTGTGAGAATTGTTCGCTGTCGGGAACAAAGAGCGGAGGGCGCGATGGTTGGTGGTAAGATGATGGACCAAAGCCCCCAAGATCATTCGGGGCGGGTGGAGGTGCCGCCAAGACGGGCTGTTTAGAGGTGGTTGATAGGCGGGGAGACGCCCGGAGAAATAAGCGGGCTTAAGCAGGCTGCTGGAGGCCCGCCGTGTGCCTTTGTTCGTTGCCGCCGAGCCGCCGCCGAGCTCTCTGCTTGGTTTCATCTTGCTGGTTGTGCCTCAACGTCCCAGCTTCCTGGTCTGAAACGTGGTCTTCTCAGGCATGGAGTTGTCTAAATCAGGCAGGACCGAGCGCTAATGCAACACGCGCTTCTCGGTGTGTTCTTCGAACGACTGGATCTGGTCGCCCACTTCGAATGCGTCCCAGTTCTCAAAGCCCATTCCACATTCAGAGCCTTTGCGCATTTCCGTGACATCCTTCTTGATGTTCTTGAACGAGTTGAGCGTGCCTAGTGGGTTGTCAGCTAACCGGCAAGCCACTTTGGAGATGCAACTCCACTTACCAGTATAGATCACTTCGCCTTTCCTCAGCACTCGGATCTTCTCTGAGCGTCGAATGGTCCCGTTGGTCACGCGACATCCGGCAATCTTAATAGATCCCTTCTTAATCTTGATGTCGAAAATGTCTCCCACCTCTGCTTCTCCCAAGACGCGCTGGGTGACGATCGGCGGCAGTTCTGCGCTGACCTTCTCAGTGACATCGTCGGTCACCTTGTAAATGATGTTGTGGTCGAGAATCTGGATACGAGCAGCTGCCGCAAGCTGGCGGATCTCCCCATCGATGGGCTGATTGAATGAAATTGCGTACGCAACTTCTCCTGTTGCGGCCAGCATCTTGATGTCCGATTCGGTGAGACTGCCTGTACCGCTGTGGACGATATTTGCGCGGGCTTCGTTGTTGCCGATCGCGCTGACAGCAGCAACCAGAGCTTCAGTGCTGCCAGCCACATCGGCTTTGATGACGAAATGCACTAGTTGGGCTCCCGATGACCCTTTCTCAACCCAGCCTTCATTGTCCTTGGGACGTCGCTTGTAGCCCATGGACAGGTAGCCTTGCTCCTTTTCCCATTCGAGAACTTTGGCTCGTGCGACGGCGTCTTCCGCCCGCGAAGCATTGATCGCCGCCATATTGTCCATTTCCCAAGCTGTTTCTTGTCTCTCCTTTCGCACGGCGATCGTATCCTTGGCTTGCTGTTCGTTCTCTGCCTGGAGCACCTCGAGACCGGCTTCAGGATCGTCGCCTCGCCAACCGTCAAGCTGGACAGGAGTTCCAGGAGGTGCTTCTTCGATCAATTCACCAGCATCGTTTCGCAAGGTTCGCACGCGCGCCCACGTGGTGCCAGCAACGATAAAGTCACCTGGTCTCAACGTACCGCGACGCACCAATACCGTGGCCACACGACCAGTGATACCCACTCTGCTCTCGATGATCCAGCCTTCAGCCGGTCCATCATTCTCGGCGCGGAAGTCGGCGACATCGGCCAAAGTGAGTATTGCTTCCTCGAGGTCATCCATTCCGCGACCTGTCTTTCCGCTGACAGGGATGGCTTGGTATTCTCCACCAAAATCCTCGACAACTATGTCATGTTGCATCAAATCACGTTTGACTTGTTCAATGTCAGCCCCGGGTTTGTCGACTTTGTTGATTGCCACGATCATCTGTACACCGGCCTCACGGGCATGCTTGATAGCTTCGATGGTCTGAGCCTTGACGCTGTCGTCTGCAGCGACAACCAGAACAACAATGTCCGTCACGACGGCACCTCTTCGGCGCATCTCCAAGAAAGCGGCATGGCCAGGAGTGTCAAGGAAGGTGATGTTGCGCTCCGACCCAGGCATTGTCACTGAGAAGGCACCGATGTGTTGCGTGATACCGCCATGCTCTGATGCCACCACATTCGCCTTTCGAAAGTAGTCGAGAATCGTCGTCTTCCCGTGATCGACGTGCCCCATGATGGTGACGACCGGAGGTCGAGGGGGCAATACCGAAGGATCCTCTGCTGGCGGCCGAGGAAAGATATCCCCAGATTGATCGATTGCTTTGATCACGGGCTCAAACCCGTATAGCTCTGCGAACATGGCGGAGGTGCTAGAGTCCAGGACATGGTCATATCTAGCACCTTCAAATCCTTCCTCTTCGAGCTTTTGTAGAAACTGGGGTAGTCTGACTTTGAGGCCCTGCGCCAGCTTTTCAACACTGATGAACTCGGGCAGAACAATCTCCAGCCGGGCTGGTTGCCGCGCGGCTTTGGCTTGTTTTCCCTTCTTCTTCCGCCTTTTCCTTTCGTCGAGGAATTCCTCGGCGAGATCTGGGTCGAAGTCAAAATCCTTCGAACTGCCTCGTGAAACACTGCCCCTTCTCGCAGTAGGGGCTTTGGCTGGTCGTGATACCTGGAGCGGCCCGTCCTCCTCGATTTCGTAGAGTCGAGCTCTCCTGTCGCGCTCCTTGCCACCGGTTGTTTTCCGCTTGTGCCAATCATCCTCTGTTTCGCCTGCAATTGGCCCATCGTCTAGCATACCAACTTGCTCATCAAGGTTTCCTGGCTGGACAGGTGAACCGGACGCTGGCTGTGGACGGCGTTCCCGACCCAAACGTTGGCCCGTTGATCTCTGTTGGGGTGCAGAACCATCCATGCCCGGTCGCCAAACACGAACGTCATCACGAGCCCCCCTACCATCCGCCTCTCTACCGGCCACACGTTGTTGTGGTGGCCGCTTCGATGTTGCTGGACCCATGGGCGTCCAGGTATGTGACTCGCTAGGAGCACCTTCGAACTCTGCCCTCGGTGAAATTGGTTGATCAGGCCTTCCTATGGCCGCGCCTATTCTACTTGGAGGCATGTTCTGTTGGCGGGACTCATTCGGAGCTGGATTATCAGTTCCGCGAGGCCTCAAATCATTGGATATCCTAGATGGTCGTGACGACGGTCCTGGCTCTTGATACACTCGATCGGCCGCACCGATACCTCTTATTGTCGTTTCCGTGGGGCGTGTCCGCTTATCCTGGTATCTGAAAAGGGACCGGTCCGAGTCTGAAGCCCCGCCATGGCGGTCATTCCTCCAGTTCTTCTCGGTCGGGTGACCGACACCATGATTTCGAATTCTGAAAGATGACTCCGCGTCGGCCTGAGGTTGTGAGTTTCTTGTCTGGGTATCGGGCTGAGGGCGACCCCAGGTTGCTGCCTGGGGCCTCGATCGCGCCCGGGAGAGGATCGCAGATATCGAGCTGGGATCCGCAGGACCGTCGGGACCTGCTCGGAGGCGAGAGTTTGAAGTAGGGGGCGCAAAGTGGTCAGGTGGGGATGGATTTGAGTCTCTGTAGACCACCTGGGCATTCTGAGGCCGCGGACTCATACATATTGTACAGTCTGATCTTCCCGGCTTGTTGACGTGGTTGCAACGACATCTCCAGCCTAGCAGTTCTCGTGCTGGAGGGGCAAAGTCCTCCTCTTCCTCTTCTATCCGGGCTACCGCTGCTCCGGCAGGACGATTCGAAGGATTGGCCGCCCTGTACAGGCGCCGCTGCGGTTGCAGCGACTTGACCACACGAGACTCGATGCCATGTCTGAACGCGCAGAAGAAGCAGATATCTTGACCTTGCAGCAGCTGTACGGGGATTAATACGTAACATTCAACCTACTTGAAGACGGAGAGAAACGAACCTTCTGCGTCACTGTCCTTCGCATAGTGAGTCACTCTTCGTCCGACTGGGTCTGTGCTGCTCGCGTTACTGCTGAATCCAGGAGCCACGCCGGCATTGCCTGATAACTTTTTGGCCGAGCAATCAATCCCGAATTATCGACGGAGCGTTGAGCACGAAGCGCACATCGTACGGTGCGCCGTACATCATACTGCGTTCTTTGTCAGCCTTGCGAAGATAACGACAACCAATCGATGCTTCGCGGCCAAGCCCGCTTTTCTCGGGGACAAAGGCGAATTGACAAATGACGTGCTGCTCCAATGGAAAATATATCAGTGCTTCTTCGCTTCAGAGCAGCGCTATAAGTCTTGGGGATGAGGTAGCTCAGACAGGCGTGACAGAAGAGGAGCAGGTATGGCGGACGCCGTTGAGGATATCGAGAAGCACGAGGCCGAGACCGGCAGCTGGGCAAGGACTGCAAAGGATCTTTTTGCAGGTGCTGCGGGTGGTGTTGCTCAGGTTCTGTTAGGTGAGTCGTCAAAACTTCTTTTGGCTCAACTTTGTTGGCCGCTGGGTATCAAGCATGCATAACCGGCGACTTTCCCCACGAAGGTGGAAGATTGGGTTATAGTTGATCCCGGGTATCGACTTGTATTCCGTGGCTCAAGTGAAGATTTGGAGCGACATTAGACCATAATAGCAAGAGCTGACACTTATTACAGGTCAACCCTTCGGTAAGCGATGAATGGATTTAGTTTATAGCGGAGCAGGATCTCACAATCTGCCCTAGACATCGTCAAAGTCCGCCTCCAAACTACAACCAAATACCCCAGCGCCCTCTCCTGCGCCAGCTCAATTCTCCAGAACGAAGGCCCCCTCGCCTTCTACAAAGGCACTCTCACGCCTCTAATTGGCATAGGAGCCTGTGTCTCCGTCCAGTTCGGTGCTTTCCACTATGCCAGACGGGCATTTGAGGAGCAAAATCTCCGCCAGAATCAACCGGCGGGTTTGTCTTATTCGCAATACTACCTAGCTGGCGCCTTTGCTGGCTTGACTAACTCAGTGCTTTCCGGCCCGATTGAGCATGTGAGGATCAGACTGCAGACGCAGCCACATGGTGCTGAGCGGCTTTACACTGGCCCTCTCGACTGCATCAAGAAGCTGTCCGCACATGAAGGTGTGCTAAGGGGACTGTATCGTGGTCAGGCTGTGACGTTGTACAGAGAAGCTCAAGCCTACGGTGTCTGGTTCCTTACCTTCGAATACCTCATGGCGCGGGACATGAAGCGCAACAATGTCAAGCGAGAAGAGATCTCGTCGCCAAAAGTCGCCTTCTATGGTGGCCTGGCTGGCGAAGCATTGTGGATTGCGAGTTACCCGTTTGATGTCATCAAGAGTAAGATGCAGAGTGACGGGTTCGGCAAGGAACAGAAATACAAGACCATGAGGGATTGTTTTAGCCAGACCTGGAAAGCTGCTGGGTGGAGGGGATTTTGGGCCGGCATCGGGCCAACCTTGGTGAGGGCCATGCCAGTCAGTGCGGGCACATTTGCTGTGTAAGTGCTCTTCCCCGGGTGGCTTCGAAGATGCATGATTCTAACTGTGGTGTCTAGGGTCGAATTGACGATGCGGGCACTGGGATGAGGTCGAGTGCCGGAATGGTACAGTATGGGCTCACCTCGACGTTGAGGATCTGGGCATCATGGTTTTTCAATAGACATATAAAATGACTGGTAACTGAATGTGAATATCACACTCATACGGAGCAAGTGCTCAGTCGCTCAAATGCATTTTGCCACGAGGACGATGTGATAGCCTTCGCGTCGTGAAACTTATGTACAACTCCCACTATCTGATTGTTCATCTGTAGGGTGCATCTGCTCTCGCCACAGCCGCAATTTCAGGCTCCCACTTGTCACCGTTGGCCAATAATTTTTCCTTGTTATAAAGAAGTTCTTCTCGAAACTCAGTGGCATACTCTGCGTTAGGTGTTTCGACAATGGCGTCCACCGGACAGCTCTCCTGACACATGCCGCAATAGATGCATTTCGTCATGTCAATATCGTATCGAGTTGTTCTCCTTGAGCCGTCCTCTCTTTCTTCTGCTTCGATGGTGATGGCCAGTGCCGGGCAAACGGCTTCGCAAAGCTTGCATGCAATGCACCTCTCCTCGCCCGAGGGATATCTCCTTAGCGCGTGTTCGCCTCTGAATCTGGGCGAAATAGGACCTTTCTCGAAGGGATAGTAGATTGTGTAGCTGCAACGCCAAAGTCAGTGTCGTCTCCTCAGAGAGTGCATCTCTTCTTAGGCGTGGATTTCGCATACGGTGGTCTGAAGAATTGTTCCAGCACAACATACATCCCCCTCAACATCTCAGTGAGCAGAAAGTAATTGCTGGCCTTGTCCATCAACGCTTCGCCTTCATCAAATCTCTTGGGTTTCGGTAGTCTGAAGCCGGATGGCGGAGGCCCCGATGGCAGGGCATTCCGAGGACGTGAGCTATGGAATTGAGCTGTGGCTGTGGCGCGGAGGAAGGGTGACGGGTCTGCTTGTCGAAAAATGGCTGTCGGACTCGTCAATGGCCGCGCGACCAGTCGCGATGCTGGACGAAATGACGACGCCATCGCCCTTAGGAGCCGCAGACTGCAGTTTGTCGATGTGTGGCGAGCGCAAGGGAAAAGACAGAGTTCGATGGAGACGGCGAGGTCATAGATGTAATGCGGATCCAGAGCACGCTGATTGGCCCCGTCGGCCTACTTGCTGTTTTTGGGCGCAGCTCTTGCACGCCCGAAGCTTCGCTGGTTTGCAACTGCGTCTTCCGTCCAGAAATTCAATCATTACGCCAAACAGACGCACGCCTTCTTTGCCAGTGTTTCCCTTGTCCTTCACGTCTACCCATCTTCTTCAGGGTGTTTCCCAAGATGATTCGCGCAGGTGCTGTTAAAGCGCTATATGCAGCCACAAGGACCCAATTGCCCCGACAGTTACCTGTCTTCCGCTCTCAGATCTCTACCTCCCTACTTCAATCATCACGAATTGCTCCCTCATTCGTCGCTCAAAGTATAAGATGCTACTCAGCACCTGCGGGTCTGTCGAAGGATGAGGTCCAAGGACGGATAATGGACTTGTTGAAGAACTTTGATAAGGTGCGCATCCGTGATCCATGACTGATGTCGTGATGGTTAACACTTTTGCAGGTTACAGACGCATCAAAGGTATGCTGGGCTCCCTATGTGCGGGCCAGAGCAATCCTAACTGGAGCAACAGATCAGCGGAACTGCGCACTTTCAAAACGACCTGGGACTGGACAGTCTGGACACCGTTGAAGTGGTCATGGCAATTGAGGAAGAATTCAGCATCGAGATCCCCGACAAGGAAGCCGATGCCATTCATAGTGGTAAGCCAAATTGAAGCATCTTTGGATTCGCATCTGACACCGTCACAGTTGAGCAAGCGGTGACCTATATCATGGCCCAGCCTGATGCACACTGAGAGGTCTTCTCCTGGGACGCCGGTGGAGTTAGACACGGATCAAGAACCGAAAAACATCAAAGCATTGTACATTTTCCAGTGGTGAGGAAATGGATTGCCCTTGTACTATCATCACGGGAATAATAGACCCTCCGGATCTCCACGATGGTCTTTGGACAAACTTCAGCCATTTCCGATCGAAGCGCTTTCTGATCTATGTTCTATATCCCACATTTCCACCGAACCCCGTGCCTATACAACGCCGGAGTTTCTCAGCTCGGTTACCTCTGTAGCGTCGTATCCCAGTTGGCCCAGGACCTCGTCGGTGTGCTCACCCAACAAGGGAGGCTTTATCCTCAGTTTCATCTTTGAACCCTCGAATTTCATGGCTGGGCCGATCAGCTTTAGCACACCATCCCTGGCTGCTTCGAAGTCATCAACTTCAATCACCATGTCTCTCGCCTTGGTCTGAGGGTGCTCTTCCAGGGCTTCCACAGGGTCATTGATTGCACCATACGGCAGTCCACTTCCATCGAAGATGGCCAGCCACTCTTCTTTCGTCTTTTCGCCAAATCTCTCTTGCAGAATCCGATTGATCTCCTCTCTGTTTTCCACTCTCCCGTCATTGGTGTTGAATCGCCCGTCCTGGCCCAAACCGGCAATGCCCATTCTCTCACAGAATCCCTTCCACTGCCTATTATTATTCGCCGCCACAAACAACATCTTGCCATCGCGCGTTTCAAATCCCCCGTACGGCACAAGATTGGGATGTCCCAAGCCCAGCCTCTTGCCTCTCCTCCTCTTCTCCGGTCCCTTGTCCACATCCAGATTCATACTCGCCAACCCCACATTAATCAGCAAACTCAAACTACTCTCGAACAGGCTGCCCTCGATCAAACATCCCATGCCCGTCCTTTCCCTCTGATTCACCGCCGCAAGAATGGCCCCATGCGCATACAACCCCGTGCACAGATCCGCCATCGCGACACCGGGCTTGACCGGGGCCCGTCCCTCCTCTCCCGTGATGTGCAACAATCCGGCCTCCGCCAGTGCAATGGCATCATATCCGGCCCTCTGCGCACTCGGACCACGGGGCCCATACCCACTGACACCCGCGTAGATCAGCCTCTCCCCCACGGACCCCAACTTCTTTAAATGCTCGTATCCAAGACCCATGGCTTCCATCTTGCCAGGCAAGAAATTATGAACCACGACGTCCGCGCCCCCGCCTGTGCCGTGCGGGTCTCCATCGCCGTCCCACCCCTCGGTGATTAATTGCTTCACGATCTCGACCCCCCTTTCTTCCTTGAGATTGAGCGTCACGGACCGCTTGTTGCGGTTCACAGCCGCGAAATACAGGCTCATAAGCGGGTGCTCGTCCTTCCATTTCTGCGATTCGCCCGCCGTGCGCCACTGGCGGGTTTCATCCCCAACGCCGGGCTGCTCGATCTTGAGCACCGAGGCGCCGTAGTCGGCGAGGATCTGTGTGCAGAACGGGCCAGCCAGGACGCGGGTGAGGTCCAGGATCTTGAGACCTGAGAGGGGAAGGGCGCCGCCCTTGTTTGGTACCGATGTAGAAGATGTTGCTGCTGATGCCGGTGCTGATGCCGGTGCTGAAGTTGAGGACCGGTTCCGGCTTTGATTGTTTCGGCGTTGTCGAAAACATGTCGAGAAAGTCAGGGCCAACCATGACGACGACGTTGTGCTTGCAAAGGTGCGGTGTCTAAGTGTTGATACAGATCTCGTCGTTGCCACTACCATTCTCATCGTCATTGTGTATGTGGATGCGAGTGTGGTGAATGTCCTGGAGACACAAGGACTGCAAGAACCACGGAGCCCGGAGAACCAGGACGACAAGACTTCTTCGTCCACTGTCCGGCGCTCAGATCGATAATCACGGTCGGCAGTCCGTCCTGCTGTGCAGCTCTGCTTGGCTTCCCTCTGCTCTTTGGACCGGACCGCTGGGTGTCGGGATCGGGCCCTCCTTCTTCTCGATGTTTCGGCAAGACCCCAGCACCGGCAACCACACCAGCACAAATGCTCCGTGATTATGTGGAGAGGAGATGCATTGGAACCTTGGGGTAGGTTGCCAGTATCCCGTGCGTGGGCCGAGGCTGACGAGGCTGCCTGCGGAGAATCGTATCCACAATGCGAAGGAAGGAGAGCAGTTGACAATAGACCATGGACCATAGAAAACCTCGCCTGGGCTATCTTCCAGTGAGTGAAGTACCTCACAATTGGGCAGCCTTAGAGTTCCTGAAGGGAGATTGTGCGCATCTGCTACACATTTCGCGAAGAGTAGGCCTAAGGATCCGCTCGGCAGAAAAACCCGTCCAAGTAATTACCACTGGCTCGGCAAGAAAAAGCTACGGACTATCATTCATTGATTATATGCTTCTCTAGTCCTGTGGACTGGTGATCCATTGCTCCGTCAAGGACAGACAGGATATCTAGGGGTGCTCGGTGAAAAGCTGCGAATAAGGATCCTCCTACCATCAGGCCTCTGTCTAAGCCGCCGCCCTGGCACGCACCGGGTTTCTACAAGATGTCGCCCAGAAGAGCGGTCGCACGCACGATCACAAATCTATTCCACACAGCAACTAGACCGAAGGGGAGGTCCAATCGTCAATCACCGGTCCTCAACTCCTTACGCTGCGTACGCCCCTTTTCGTCAACGAGCCGCCACGGAGCGCGTGGCACGGAGTACCTTCAAAACCATGACCCCGACCTGACCGACACGCAACGAACGGTCCGCGAATCCATTGCGAAGATATGCTCCAAGTTCGGTGATGACTATTGGCTGCGGGCCGACGCAGAGCATCGCTTCCCCGTGGAATTCCATCAAGCCATCGCTCAGACGGGCTGGTTGGGCATATGCATGCCCTCGGAATATGGAGGCTCAGATCTGGGCATCTCCGAAGCCAGCGTCATGATGCAGACGATCTCTGAGTCTGGGGCCGGATATGCCGGGGCGAGTGCCGTGCATATGAACATCTTCGGGTTAGAGCCTGTCAGGAAATTCGGAACCCAGGAGCAAAAACGACGAATGTTGGTTCCCTTGATCGAGGGCAAGGAGAGGGCTTGTTTTGGCGTCACGGAGCCGAACACGGGACTGGATACACTGAGGTTGCAATCGACGGCTGTGAGAGATGGAGACGGGTACCGATTGAGTGGGCAGAAGATCTGGATCTCCACGGCACAGGTCGCCGAGAAGATTCTGATCCTGGTCAGAACGACTCCACTGGAGAAGGCGAAGAAGCCGAGTCAGGGCTTGAGTCTATTTTACACGGACCTCGACAGGTCGCAGGTCGAGGTACAGGAGATTCCAAAGATGGGACGGGCGGCCGTGGACTCGAACACGTTATTCTTCGATGGGTGGAAGGTCCCGAGGGCGGATTTGATCGGAGAGGAGGGCAATGGATTCAAGATGATCATGCACGGAATGAATGCAGAAAGAATCTTGATTGCCGCTGAAGCGCTGGGAATCGGAATCGCGGCCCTGAGGAGAGCGGCGCTATATGCTGGGGAGAGGAAAGTATTTGGAAGACCGATTGGGCAGAACCAAGCCATTCAGCATCCCCTGGCGGAGAGCTGGATGGAGCTTGAAGCTGCTAGGCTGGTCATCTATCAAGCTGCCAGGATGTATGATGCTGGACACGAGACGGGCGAATATGCCAATGCCGCGAAATATCTGGCTGCTGAGGCGGCTTTTCGAGCTTGTGAAAGGGCCGTCATGACGCACGGCGGGATGGGTTATGCGAAGGAGTACCACGTCGAGAGATATCTGCGGGAGATCATGATACCGCGCATCGCCCCTGTCAGCAGAGAGATGATCAAAAATTACATTGGAGAGAAGGTGCTCGGACTGCCAAGGTCATATTGAGAAGGCCAGAAAATGATCTGCCATATTGTCCTGGGCTTGCTGATGGGAAGAGCTTGATGTACGGCTGGGGTAAACACAAGGATAGGAAGCATTAAAGCGAAACTCCTCCGCCTGCGCATTACCGCGGGATGTACCTGGTATCGACTACCCTGGTACTCCCTGTTGCATTTGCAGCTCCAGAAACTGTGAGCTCTACCAGCGCGATGGATCTGGGATTCGTGTGTAATCAGGAAAGATCAGGTAGATCAGGTAGATCAGGCAGATTCTCTCTCCAGTGTTGCCGAACAGTATGAGTACTCGAACTGTGTAACCAGACAACAAGTCACAATGTTGCATCATCCTCGGTATGCAGGACCATTCATTGTACCAGGATGACGAATCATTGGGCGGTAAGAGTGAGACGCGCACGAGTTGGAAGAACCACGATTACAATTCTCGAACAGCAGTGCCTTGCGTACCATTTTCGTCGCGTGAGAAGCAAAACATGGATAGTTGAAGGCGATTCGTAGATGTCGAAGTGGTGGCAAGCCGGAGATTTCGGTCTCCCCAGCACAGCGTGCACAGCCTTGCGAGCCTCGTGCTGCGCCTCCTTTACGGCGGAGCACACGCACGGCTGGGTGTCTTCCTCGGCTGCGCCACACCAATCACATCATCTCCCAAGTTCCCAAATCCGCCTCGCTCCATCGATGCCATCATCCCCGCGAGGATTTGGGTCCCTCGAGCGAATGCAGCAGGATTCCAGAACCACCAGAACATTGATGAGATGGCATCCGATTGCTCGCGTGCTCGGTTCCCTGTGCGCGAGCAAGGCTCAAGGAAGGCTGTGATGCTGCCGCGCGTTCTGTATGGCTGGGAAGCGCGAACGGCTAACCTCTGCCACCATGTCCACACAGCGAGCCCTGCTGCTCTGTGTGCGAGTAAATGGCAAGTTACTTGCTTTTGCCTAGGCAGCATCGATCGTCAAGGTGAGAACAAACCTATATAACCGTCCAGCAAGTCTGGGTGTTTGGTTCCTACCTCGTACTTCCCATCCCATATTACCATCCCTGCACTTGTACCAGTCCAGTCCCCTCAAGTCAAGGTACCAAAGCATCACCAAAAAACGATCCGCCCAGAACCCGCACTTGGCAATCACATCGCCCATCTCTCTACAAAGTCCTCATACAGTACCACAAATCAACATGTCCGGCCCTTACGACCAACACTACGCCTTCACCAACGGCGGGTACGACTACAACAATAACAACAACAACCAGTACCAACACCAATACCAATATCAACCCCAGACCTCATCATACCCCTCCGGCGGCTTCTCTGACCAATCTCACTCTCAAACCCAACAACAACAACCCTACTACAATTCGCATTCGCAGAGCTACTACCCCCAAACCGGCACAAACACCTCGTACTACGACGGCCAGCCAGGCGCCCAGGGCCCCGAAGCCGATCGTGGCCTCCTCGGCGCCGCGGCCGGTGGCGCGGCCGGCGCGTTCGGCGGCCACAAGGTCGGTCACGGCGTGCTAGGCGCGCTGGGCGGAGCGATCCTTGGATCTCTGACGGAAGATTATGCCAAGAAGGGACGCAAACAAGGCAAGCACGGCAAGCAGAACAAGCACGGATATCGTGACGGTGCTGTCGCCCCGGGGCAGAGTTTCGGGTCTAGTGCCAGTGGGTTGGGGTCTGTGGCGAGCAGCTTCTTCAACAGGAAGTAAAGATTCGTGGTGGTGCCAGAGGTGCTGGAGCGTTGGATACAGTACTCCGTGTTTGTAAAGCTACCTACCCATTCTGACCGGATCATCCACCGGCTGGATGCATGAATGACTTTTGGGACTAGCGGGCGTTTTCCTGGTAGCGTTGGGTACATAGCACTACTGTGGGAATCAGGAAGGAGTATTATAGCGGAGTGGAATGGAATGCAAATCAATCAACCTACCTACCTACCTACCTACCTACCTACCTTCCGCTTCGTTGAGAGGTTAAGTATTTGATTTGGCTCGTGAGTTTCTTGAGATCCTCACACTCGATTCCTGTTCCCTAGATTGTTCGTGTCCCTAGATTGTTCGTGTCCCGAGATTGTTCGTGTCCCGAGATTGTTCGTGTCCCTACCCTTCTCATTGGGCCATTTTGATATGTGAATCAGGTCCGTTGTGAGGACCCGTGTTTCCGTTACATCGCCGCTGAAGGAGCCTTGTCCTCCCGATTGTGTCTGTTCCTGCTTCATTTTCATGACGACTGCCGCCTAGGCTCCTGAGTGTTACACTGAGTGAACGACTACTGATCCTTCCTTCTACGGCCGCCACGGCTGCTGGGTATAAAGCCCCGTATCTCCCTGTCAGTTACGCAGGCGGCGGCATTCCAGCAGTGCGATAAAACCGCTCTTGCACTTCTTCGCAGAGTAGCTGGAAACTCCCCCATCGAATTGGGTCCGAGGATCTGAAGACCTGAGTGGGCCCGAGATTGGTCGGATCGAACTGCCAACCCCAATGGATCATAGGATCGCCCCATTTCACAGTGACCTTAAGCCCTGCTGCAGCCTGGTGCTCTCTGGACTCTGATTCTGGAGCCTGATCGTGACCCTGTGGTTGGATATCGACGGCCGGATGGCCTCGCAAGGATAGTGCCAAAGGATGCAAAACTTCTGGCACCGTCCGAGCGGCGACTTCGGCAAAGGCTTCGTTTCCCTGTTCCTTCATGAACCTCTTGAGCTCCACGACGGCGTTCACAAGGCGGATCTCCCTGTTTTCTCTCCTGGGCTCCTGGTCCCGCGTAAATCCGACGACAACCTTGAGATCCACATGAGAAAGCCGCGAGCCTCGATCCCTCAAAGCCGACAGTTGGCCAGCCAGCTGCTTGACGAAAAGTTCTGTCCTTCCCAACCCAAGGCGAATCATTTTGATCGTGATATGAAGTTCCAGCTTCTTGATGTTGCTGAGCGTGTTTATGAGAACATTGAAGGCAATGTTGCCAGCAACCGAATGCTCTGAGTCCGCATACGACTCACGGCTCTTACAACCCTGGAGCGGTCTCACGTCGCGAATGCCCTCGAACGTAACGCCTGCATAGCCGATAGTCAGTGCAAACGAGCGCTCCCCTGTGATCCAGCGTGCTTGATCACGGAACGATTGGCACGTGGCGGCAAAATTTGCGAGGTGGTTGGGTCGATCCGCCTTCGCTACATCCGCCCCGAAATCACGGAGGTGGAATGGTCCGACTGTATCCTGACCGGCAAATCCTGCAACCCGACGCTCCTCCCTATGGCGATGTAATTCATCATCCGTGAGCGGCATCGGCTCCCGCTGCTCAGGGACAAGATACTCACAGACACGCAGGAGGATTTCAGGCGGTAGGTCTGTGAGTAATGTGGCGCGGGGAGAAGCTGATCCCGTCGAGGTGGTTGGCAGGCGCGCCGCTGAATCGGTTTGATGGCGAGACATCTTGAACAACATTACGAGTGATCTCTTGGGTTGGCTCCAGTTGGCAGAGAAGGAAGAAGAGACCGGTGGCCGCTTTTAAAAGATCTCGTTGAATAGGCAGCAACAAGTGGGGGTCAGTTGATCCTTGAAGGCCTTTGGTGGTGAATCCTAACATACTACGTCAGTCATCACAAATGTCTGGCGCGATTGAGCATACCTACTTTCTAACGTGCTCTGCTCAAGGGTCTGATAAGTTTGGCATTCAAGGCAGCAGACGTGGGCGCATCGCAATGAGCCTCCACGGTCTCGTCTGCCGACCAAGCAACAATTCCATCAACCCGAACTATCAAGTCACCGAGACCGCGCGTATTCGTTACTTCTGTAGCCAGCTCATCGATTTGGGACTCGTACCGCTGCCACAGACCCAGATGCAGTCGATCAGGGGACTGGCAGCATCGGTGGTGCCGACGAGGTCCTGGATGAGTGAGCCTTTGCACCGCCTTTCCGTATGGGTTACGCTCCAATGTCGTGACTTGGCCTGATCGCACCATCGCTACTTTGTACAACCTCCAAGCATCAGGCTTGAATGGGTAATACTGTCAGGTTGTTCTGGAGTCATCCACATCCAAGCGAGGGATATCAGACTCGGAAAGAATGGCAGATGGCTCCGCAGCTGGTTTACAGTATCATTGTAAGCCATTCCCATCCTAACACCTGGCCAGGGTTTTGTGTACATGTGCACGTACATAGAGGCGTGATCAATGGCCATTTTGTCGACACCCATTTGCGGATAAATTCTTCCTCCAGATTGAATGTGAGAAGGATAGACGCGATGTTGGTTTACTCAGGATGGCCGATTTATGTACGGAGGTGCCAAAGCCAAAAGACGTTCACATCGTGTCTGTTCATCCCTGTTGGCATCGCCTTGTCATCCCTGTAGCTAAGCTCCCTTTGATTCTAGGGTCGTTGTAGGCTACACGTACGCTCTGCACTATCTCAGTCGGGCGATCAGAGATGTCAGCATACACCCATCTCGGTGCTTATAATGACTGCATAATACGTACCTTTTGAGGGTTGAAAGATCTCACACTCGAATGCCGGTGCGGAGACTCACTTCCAAGAAACCCAGGCAAAAGGTAATTAATTCCATGTGGCCGAGGGAAAACATGAGCCCTTGATTGCATAAGACCGTCCCCCACGATCTTGCTCGCTGCCCCCGTCTACGAACAATCCATCTGAAATATTGACCATGGCCAGAACTTCAGACATCCGCGTCCTCTTTGAACCTCTGTCGATCCAAGGCCGTCAACACGAGACTCTTGATCTCCTTGCAGATGACGTCGACTGGACAATAATGGGCCACTCACCCATGTCGCGCAAATACACCGGCAAGCGAGACTTTGTCGACAACACATTGAAAGTGCTTAGAGAGAGGGTGCTTACGGAGCCACTGCGGTTGGAGGTCAAGGGCGTGGTGGGGACTTTGGAAGGCGAGGGAGACGACATCCACGGCGAGGCGGCCGTAGAACTAGCGGCCATCGAGGCCGTGTGTAAGAACGGGTTGACGTATGATATGCGATATGTTTGGATCTGCAGATTCCAGAGGGGGCGAATTGTGCGAGTCCGCGCCTACCTCGACACCGACCTCCTTAGCCGTGCAATGGAACAAAATCCATGAGATCCAGCGCATATTGGGACAAGATGCCGGAGAGGGAGCCATGAGACAAAGATACGAAAGCCCGGTCCCTGGTGGACCGGAATCAGAAGACAGCCAGCTATGAAATCTTTGGCACACGTGGACCACCATTGATGCTCCGCCATTCCCTTTTGCCCAGCCGGGAACTTCACGTAATGAGCAGCGCTGAACCTGCCTGTTACTCATCCAAATGATTAACTATACTCGTAGAATCCTCTTCCACTCTTCTTTCCCAGCCACCCAGCGTCCACATACTGCCGTAACAGCACGCTCGGTCGGTATTTGCTGTCGCCCAGCCCAGCATGTAACGTCTCCATGATAGCCAAACAAGTGTCCAGGCCAATAAAATCGGCCAACGTGAGCGGGCCCATGGGCACGTTCGTGCCGTTCTTCATGATGTTATCGATATCTTCCTTTGTCCCCACGCCCGTTTCCAGGCAGATAATTGCCTCGTTGATATATGGCATCAGGATCCTATTTGCCAGAAATCCCGGGCTGTCGGCAGAAACAGAAGCGACCTTGCCCATCTTCTCACAAAATGCAATTGCGGCTGCCACGGTTTCTGGAGAGGTCTGCAAGCCGGCGATGATCTCAACACCCTTCTGCACGGGGACGGGGTTCATGAAATGGGTAGAGACCACCCGGGAGGACGCCTGCGTGTCTGTGGGATCTTTCGTCGTAGCCCTCGCGATCCGTGTGATGCTGATGCTCGACGTGTTTGTTGCCAGAATGGCGTGCTTGGGACATATCTGGGCCAAATCTGCGAATATCTTTTCCTTGAGGGAAGGGATCTCGGGGACGGCCTCGATGACCATGTCCACGTCCGAGAGATCGGAAATGTTTGTTGTAGATTTTAACCTTTCCCTAGTGGCTTTTGCAACATCTTCGCTGATCCTTTGTTTCTGGACATCCTTTGCTAGCAATTTGTCGGCGAAAGCAAGGCCCTTTTCGAGGGATTGTTGCGAGTTGTCGACGAGGGTTACCGGAACTTGGGCCTTTTGAGCGGCGACAAGCGCGATTCCTAGACCCTACGGCTGGTCAGCTTCGCAAAAAACCATTGCATCTGGCGGGCATACCATCTGGCCAGCGCCAATAACGCCGAGCTTCTTCACTTCGAATGCTTTCGAGGGCGAGGAGCTGAACTGGCGGTTGAGAGAAGCAAGCCTCTGAGAGGCGACCTGCGACTTTGACGAAGCCATCAGTCTCGACGGCAACCTCGACAGCGCAGCCATAGGAAATGAGTCGTGAACAGCAAAACCCTTGGTTGTTAGAACTGCAGCACGAGAAAGCAGTCTTTTAATTGAAAGCTGCAGCAACGCCGAGATTCCTCCTTCAAGACTGCGCCGTCCCTCGCCGTCATATCTCGGTGACTCGAAGCTTCAGCCGGGAATAACCGCGCCGAGGTCCAAGTACTTAGTAAGTGGCACGCGGTGCACGTGCAATTCTGACTCGTACGCGTCTCGACGCGTTCGCGGGTCACGGCAACATTGTCGTGTCGCATCAAGACCAGCTACTGTGCACTCATACATCCTCGACAACCATGCACGACTGAATAGCCTGGGCTCGATGGAGGAGGATAACCCTTTCACCAAGGCTCAGACTGTTGATCCTGAAGTCCGGGCCTATGTCTACAGCCTGGTCAACGCCGTAGGTTCCTCACTCTATTGAGACTCGGACGTATCTAACACCAACTAGCTCGGTGGGAGCAGCACCGACGACGACGGCCGCTATGTCCTAGGCGATGATGCTCTTGCAGTGCTACGAGACCTTAAGCGATGGCTGAAACTATACGACGAGAAAAACAACCGGCTGGATGTTGCAAGATGTTTGGCCGAAGCGAAGTTGGTCGGAGGGGACCTCATTCCCATCCTCGCATCATGGCCAGAAGACGGCAAGGAGAACAGACTGAAAGCCAGGGTCGCGCTCGCGTGCTTAGAAGTCCTCGTTCCACTGACATGGCCGTTGGAGACTGGGGGAGAAATGACTGCCAACCACCACCGACATACACCCTACATTCAGCAAGCCCAGGTCATCTACAAAGCCGCCATCTTGGGTTGCGACACTAGTAATATCCTACGACAGGTGGTACGGGTCGGACTGCCCTCGATCGCTGTTGCAAGAGACGAGAGGACCAGTCGAGACGAAGGCATCCTCAAGCTTATGTTGTACTTTTTCCGAAACGTCGCCGTCATCCAGCAGCTCCCGAATCTCCCAAGCCAAGGACTGGACACGGAAGTCTCAAGATCAGCCACTATCGAGGCATTCAGGGATCAAGATGTGTTTGCTGTTCTCCTGACTATCTGTTCCAACATGGGAGACGACTTCAACCTACAGGATGTCATTGTGTTGGATATCATCTTCAATCTGATCAAGGGTGTTAATCCCAAGAGACTGTGGATGACCCAACAGGAACGGAAGACTCGTGGGGTGACAGACCTTGGCGCTGTTCTGGCCGTAGAACAGAGCAAGGACAGAGACGCAAAGAAGCACCAATGGAGCAGGCATGGCCGATTTGGAACCATGGTGTGGGTAAAGCGAGAAGGAGAAAAGATGTCAGCTGTCTCCGGGCAAGACAATTTAAAGGACGACCAACAAGCCCTCTTCAATATGGACAAGACGAAAAAGTGGAACAAGCCGCAACAGAGACGCAAAGACCTCGACCACACCATTCACGACTTTGACCGTACTACACACCTTACCGACTCAGCTGCCGAGAAGCTCCGTAACTTTGTGGAAGAGTTCCTTGATTCTGGCTTTAACCCTTTCTTCACGCATCTCCGCAAAGCCATTGAGCGTGAAGCAGAACGCTTGACCGATGTCAACTATCGCCAATTCTTCTATGCTGTGGCATGGTTTCTCGAAGCCGAACGAGTACGCCGGGAAACACGGAAGAAAGAGGTCAAACCCGACAACGTCCGAGCAGAATTGAACGATGAAAGCTTCTCCCTCGTTGCAGCTGTCCTCAACCAAGAAACATTCATTATGCTCAACCGATTCATGCAGATCTCATTCGACAACAAAGAATGGCAGGATTTGAATGCGAGCATGCGCTGCTTCACCCAGATTCTCCTTACCGTGCAAGAGATGGCCCAAAGTCCTCTGGAAGAAGACCAAGAGATCGCAGACAATATTCAGAACAGAATATTCTACGAGGAGACGACGCATGAGCGAATAGTCTCGATACTCAGAGAATACAAAGACCAAGGATTTGGCTACCTCGACGCCTCGACGGAGCTCTCGCACGTCTTCTTGCGCATGTTGGAACGATACTCGAAGGAGAATGTCGACATGCAGATACGGTCACGGCGAAGAGCCAGGAAGAAGCGGAAGGAAGAGAGGAAGCAAGCTACAGAAGGCGATGATCCTGCCGCGGAAGACGAGGAGTCTGAAAACGAGGACATCGCAGATGTGGTGCAAGTGTCTAAAGAACGGAAATTCGACTTCAACCGCTTCGCCACAAGGTTCTCTACTCAGAATTCAGTCAACACATTTGTGTCGCTGCTAACCTTCTACCGTGAACTCAGCACGGAGCAGCTAAAGAGAGCGCACCGCTTCTTCTATCGAGTAGCATTCAAGCAGGATCTGGCGGTGTTACTGTACCGCGTTGACATCATTGCCCTCTTCTACAAGATCATCAACGGCCCAGACGCCCTGGAGAAGAACCACGCGATGTACATGGACTGGTCAGAATTCTCAAGACAGCTCTTCAAGAAAATGTTCAAGAAGCTGGATCAGAGGCCCGAACTATTTGTGGAGATGCTGTTCAGTAAGATTCATGCTACCCTATACTACCTCGAGTTTGGGCAGGAGAAACAGACTGTTTCAGCCACCCGTGCTCCTGCCGACCTAGAAGTCAGACCTGCACCAGGGCGAGACATCACGGAACAAATTGGGATTGTCGTGACAGTGCTTATAAAGGATGGCAAGGCTCAGCTCGTCCAGTGGATCAAGAAGATGCTAGGAAAGGCGTTCGATGAGCGACATGCCTGGGAGGCCGAGGCCGAGGCACGGAAAGCGGCCATGGCTGAGACTGCAGAAAAGGACGCCGCCACTCTGCCTGACGATGTTGATTTTGGCAGGCCCTCGTCCATGACGGTTCACCCTACCTCGGAGGACATCAAGACCGCAATGTTCAGAGACGGACGGCTGAAACTGTTGATGCGATTGGTTGGCTTCGAGATGCTTGGAGACGACGTGCTGGGCGCCAGCTGGATTGTGCCTGGAAGCGTGACGGCCGCTCAGCTTTCCGTCCACAAAGCAACTGTGGAGCAGTACGAGCAGACACCGTGGCAATCCAATGACGAAAGTGAAAGCGCCGAAGACATGCTTCGCCGTGCAAATCACAAGAACAAGGAAAGCTTCGACGACGGCGAAGATGCGCCCAGGGATGGGTTCGTTGACGACTCTGAAGGCGAAGAGGACTTCCTATTCCCTGATAATCCCCGGCCGAAGAAATCAAAGAACATCATCGCAGAGCTCAAGGCCAGACGCAAGAGGAAGCGAGGCGAGGTTGATGATGATGACGACGACAGCGCTGACGAGGTCGACGAGGAAGCTGCAGCTCGAAGGAGAGCCAAACGTGCTGCTGCTGAACTGGAGAGACGCCGCAAGATCAAGAGTGAAGCCTACATCAGGGACAGCGAGGACGAGTCGGATGAGGAGAAAGATCGCTTGTTTTTCGAGAACGAAGAGAAACTGCGACAGAGGTTTCAGGCCGACGTCGAGGCCAAGCTTCGCCAGCAGGCAGAGCAGGCCACGAAGCCTGCAGGCAAAGGCAAGAAGACGAAAGCAGCGCTGCAAGTCGGAGGGGACCAGGAAAGCGATGATGATCTGCTGATGGCTGATGTCGACGACCAGCCTGAGACAGCGTCATCACAGCCACGGAGTGCCGGAAGACCATCAGATACGGAGGAGGCAGGGGAGGATGACACGCCCATGTCGTCTCGAAGTACAACACCACACATCGATATAGCTGGGCAATCGAAGCCCGGAATGGAGTATAATCGAGCGCACCTGGGTGTCAAGGCCACCGAAGCGGACACGAGTGCGCTGAGCAGTGACGACGATGAAGATGTGGTTCCTCCAGCGAACCCGCGTCAGAGAATCAGGGCTGGTTTCATTATTGATAGTGACGATGACGAGTGAGTCATGAATAACCATGCAGCACAGGATATTCCTGTCAGAAAGTCAAACTGTTCCACCGACATGCTACTGCTACTAAACTCTCGAGGTGGTCTTGCATGGTATTGCGGTCGACTTGATGAAGCTTTCATCGTCGTAGTCGTCGGAATCCGCCGAAATGTCCAGCCACAGCGCCGATTGGCTGGTGTGCGTCGCCCATTGAAGCCTCTTTCTTTTGCTTTGCTTCTGCTTATTCCTTCGCCTTTCTGATAAGCACTACAAACACTTCAATAGACCTGATAGATTTCGTTCCTTGCCTTTGTTGCTCTTCTCTCGTTCATACGCTGCTCTTCCTCCACTTTCAGTCCCTCTTGGCGCTGCTGGAGACTTGTAACGGCAGAAACCGAAATGACGCAGAAACGAATTTACTTTGGACGGTTTATATCCACCCCGAAGCCTGACGAGCTTCTGATCAGGACGGGCGCGGTGCTTGTTGATAGGAGGGACGGTCACGGTGTTATTGAGAAGGTGAATTGGAGTGTCAATGGTCCCAACGATGCGGTTAGCAAGCTTGGTGTTGAGGCGCCGGTGATTACGACCAAGGAGACCGGGTTCTTCTTCCCTGGTTTCATAGGTGAGTCTCAAGTGCTGGACTTGCGCCTGGCCACGACAGCACTATCTGCGATGTCGGTGCTCCTTGGACGGCTGATTGGGAGCTAGCAAGGGTGGTTGAACCACGACGTTGACCTCTACTGCAGATACACACATCCACGCACCACAATACCCTAACGCTGGCATATTCGGCAAGTCGACGCTCCTGGACTGGCTCACGACATATACCTTCCCATTGGAATCATCGCTAGGCACCCCACAGTCGCCTATGTACCGCGACTCAAGCTCACCACCAGACCCCCTGGCACGGGCCAAGGCGGTCTACAATCGAGTCATCTCAAAGACGCTCTCCCACGGCACCACAACCGCATCATACTACGCGACCATCCACGTCGAGGCGACTAATCTCCTTGCCGAGATCGCGTTCAAGAAGGGCCAGCGAGCATATATCGGACGGGTATGCATGGACCGTCCCGAGACTTGCCCCGATTACTATCGAGACGAAAGCACCGAGCAGACGATTGTAAACACGAAAGCGAGCATTGAATTCTGCAAGGAACTTGATCCCACCGGCGAGAGATTGGCGCATATCATCACGCCGAGGTTCGCGCCCAGTTGCTTAGCGGAGACATTATCGCAACTTGGCGCATTAGCCAAGGAAGAGGATCTCCGGATCCAGACACACATATCGGAGAATTTGAACGAAGTCAGATTGGTCAAGGAGATGTATCCGGCGCACGAGAGTTATGCCGGTGTCTACGATCACCATGGCTTGTTAACCTCACGGACGATATTGGCCCATGCGGTTCACTTGAGTAAAGAAGAGATGGCGCTGGTCAAGGCGAGGAACGCGAAGATTAGTCATTGTCCGGCGAGCAATAGTGCGTTGGGTAGTGGACTTTGTCCTGTGAGGGAAATGCTGGACGCGGGCATTGATATTGGTTTGGGCACGGACGTGAGCGGCGGCTACAGTGCTAGTATTCTTGATGCGGTGCGGAACGCGTGTATTGTCAGTCGACACGTAGGGTTTCTCGCGGGAGGGAATAGTCGATTCAACTTGAGTGTTGCGGACGGACTGTGGCTTGCTACAATGGGAGGTGCAAAGGTGGTGGGTATGGAAGGTCGCTTAGGCGGGTTTGAGGAGGGCATGCTTTGGGACGTGCAAGAGATTGTCCTCGGGGATGTTGACGTGTCTGGCGACGCGGGTGAGACTGGAGTTGATATATTCGGCTGGGAGATTTGGGAGAATCGAGTTGCGAAATGGGTATGGAATGGCGACGACAGGAATGTGAGGCGGGTGTGGGTGGGAGGGAAGCTGGTGCATGAGCGGAAGTAACAGTGGTAGTACTGGGTCACGTGGAGATCCCGGCGGAAAATATCTCCCGCACGTGATCTGACTTACATAAGCAGATGGACGTGTTTCTCCATTGCTCCGCCGTCGTCATTCTTGGTGATCGCAGCTTCTGGAGACCGCGAAGAAGTTTCCACGTGCGTCTTCATTCAATCAACAATGGTTGCTCATTCCTCATTCTTACCACCCTTTTCGCCGTCTCATGCTTCACTAACCCCAGCCGGCGACGAAATAGCACTCCTGCCATTCGTTCGCCAAGTAAGCGCAGAAGCAATGTGTGGTCCTCGTGACGGCCGATTGCTTCCTCCTCACTCTTGAACTCCTCCACCGTGTGTCTCCAAGCGCCCCACGAGCCTCAGTTCGGTCGCTATGATGAACTCTTCCACCGCGGCCTCGAACGTTCCCGTGGGACAGCCAGTGCACTCGCCTGGAGGGGGCTTTCTCTATGCCTTGACGTCGCTTGTAACGTTCCTTCCACATGCTCTGCTATGGATCATAGCATTCTGCACAATCACGCTGCCGACATGGTTGTTCACTCTTTTCTCCTTGAGCTTGACTTTCACCATGAACTTCAGCACCCTGTAAGGCCCGCCGCCCTCGTCACTCATGCGACGCCGCTGACATGTGCAGTCTCTTGATCCTTGTGGTAATAGGCTCGACCATCAGCTGGTTCGTCCGCTATCGTTTCCTAAACAACTACGCACGCCTGGCTCAAGAGCCCCAGAGGAAAGAGCCGCAGATTGACCTGTTCCCCGATACCCAAGATGGAGACACGAAGCCGGGGCTGGCCAACTACCTCGACGAATTCCTCAGCGCGATCAAGGTGTTCGGATATTTGGAAAGGCCCGTTTTCCATGAGTTGACGCGGACGATGCAGACTAGGAAACTCATCGCCGGGGAGACGTTGCTACTCGAAGAAGAGAAGGGCTTCTGCATGGTCGTGGACGGCTTGGTCCAGATATTTGTTAAGTCCCTGCGCGACAGCACGGAGGGCAGCAGCGCCGGTCAAATTGATCTGTTTGATGAAGAAGAAGGATATCGAGAGGGCAACCAAGGATACCAATTACTGACCGAGGTCAAGAATGGAGCGTCCATGTCCTCTCTTTTCTCGATCTTGTCTCTCTTCACTGAAGACGTCAAGCTACGCCACGACGTTCAAGGACCCAGTGGCACACCGTTTACCAATGGCATCCATCGCACGCCCGATTCCGTCGTTGCCAGTCCCATGCAAGAGCCATCTACCCCGAGCATGACCGTCGCCGGTCTACAAGAAGATGGTGAGAAGCGCAAATTGCCTAGCGTCCCACCTCTGATCCTGGGATCTGCCTTTGACGACACGCAGTTCACCAAGAAGCACCAACCGAAAACCCGTCCTTCCGTTTCAGCTCATCCTGACATCGTGGCAAGGGCTGTTGTAGACACCACCATAGCCATCATTCCTGCGAGTGCATTTCGACGTCTGACAAGAGTGTATCCGAAAGCCACTGCCCACATTGTACAGGTCATCTTGACGAGACTACACCGGGTGACCTTGTCAACCGCACACCAGTATCTGGGACTCACGTCGGAAGTCCTGCAGATTGAAAAATTGATGAACAAATACACGAGCTATGACCTCCCAAACCACTTGCGTGGACAAGCCCTCGACCGGCTAAGGGATAAGTTCACCAAAGAACGTGAAAGAATCGGACCCGAGGAGGGTACAAAAGGGATTGCTCTGCATAATCCGACTGCGGGTCGGCGGAGGTCATCCAGTGGGTTGCGCAGAGATGCGGCCACGACGGCAAGGCTGAATGCCGCGCGAGGAACGCTGACGACTACAGCAGCTGATGCGAGACGACCAGGAATAGGCGACAGAAACGTCAGTTCCGGAGATCTGCATGGTGCTTCGAGACCGAGCCAGAGACCGACAAGCTTCCATCTTCGATCCACTTCGAATTGGACCAGTATGGGAGCACCTGACGGCCGCAACCTGGACCTCAGCCCGATGACAACCCGTGAACAAAATCCGTTTCGACCTTCTCTGTTTGGCACAGACGCACCACACAGGCAGGAGTCGGTCAATGAAGATGCTTTGTTCCGTGAATCGGTGTTGGAGTGCATGGCCAAGGCGCTTGGTCTGAGCGAGTCGATAAATCAGCCGCTGAGGGCAGGCCCGGCCTCAGTCGAGCAATCTCCAAGGCTGGTTTCTTACGATGCGAAGCGACAAACGGCGATTTTCAACAATGCCTTTGGCTTCATAGATCCCTACGAAGGCTCGGTCGACGGGGATACCGAATCCATGAGCACTTCGATGGCCAGTGCTACCGGGACGATGCACGGACGCACTCTGAATGAAGAGCTAATGGACGATGTGGAAATCGTGTTCTTTCCGAAAGGCTCCGTGTTGGTGGAGCAGGGCGAACGCAATCCAGGCCTCTACTACGTTATAGACGGGTTTCTCGACGTCAGCATCCCGGTAGAAGAGAAAGAAGAAAGACATCACGCGCAGCATGCTGAACAGCAGAGAAGAGGCTCACGAGACGAGCCACTCCCGCGGCTCCGCAGGAGCAAGACTTCGACGTCTCGAAACCAGTCTTCTGCCCGCCTGCCCGGTCAACCGACAGAGAATAAAAGGTTTGTGCAGAAGACGTTGTTTCTCGTCAAACCGGGCGGCATTGCGGGCTATGTTGGCACGTTGTCCTCATACAGATCGTTCACGGACGTTACCGCAAAGACCGATGTTTACGTGGGCTTCCTCCCTCGATCGGCGCTGGAACGAGTGGCAGAAAAGTACCCCATCATTCTTTTGACAATGGCAAAACGCCTCACGAGTCTCTTGCCGAGGTTGATTTTGCATATAGATTTTGCATTGGAGTGGGTTCAAGTCAATGCGGGTCAAGTGATCCACCATCAGGGAGACGACAGCGATGCCATATACATCGTCCTCAACGGCCGACTGAGAGCAGTACGCGAGCTCGATGGCGGGACCATGCGGGTTACGGGCGAGTACGGTCAGGGTGAAAGCATTGGTGAGCTTGAAGTCATGACAGATGGAACGAGACCTGCAACACTGCATGCCATACGAGACACTGAACTGGCGAAATTTCCGAGAAGCCTGTTTAACAGTCTGGCTCAGGAGCACCCCAACATCACCATCCAGATCTCGAAATTGATAGCGCAGCGGATGCGCGCGCTTGTTGAGGCTCCACTGGAAGAAAAGGGCAGGAAGAAAGCTGCCTTGAGCGATTCAAGTACGTCCAGCCTGAACCTGCGGACGGTGGCAGTGTTACCGGTAACCGCCGGGGTGCCTGTTGTTGAATTTGGCAATCGTCTTCTCGCAGCGCTGAGCCAGATTGGCGTACCGAGCGGCGTCACGCTGTTGAACCAGGCGATCATCCTGAGTCATCTTGGGCGCCATGCCTTCAATCGCTTGGGCCGGCTCAAGCTGTCACAGTACCTTGCTGATCTGGAAGAGAAATACGGAATGGTGCTATACATTGCCGATACGAGCGTCAACGCGCCGTGGACCCAGACGTGCATCTCCCAAGCCGACTGCATCTTACTTGTCGGCCTCGCGGAATCCTCGCCCAACATCGGCGAGTACGAACGCTTCCTGCTGGGCATGAAAACAACGGCTCGAAAAGATCTGGTCCTCTTACACGTGGATCGCTACTCCCAGCCAGGGCTCACGAGGAAATGGCTTCGCAACAGAATGTGGATTAACGGTGGTCACCACCACATTCAAATGGCTTTCCGAGTCAGCCCCGAAGCCACGCCTCACGCCCGACCCAGAAAATTCGGCGCGGCCATCAAACAAAGCGTCCAAGTCATTCAAGCAGAGATCCAGAAATACACCTCGCGCAGAGTTCGCCAAGCCCCATTGTATTCAACGGACACGCCGTTCAAGGGCGACCTCCACCGCCTGGCCAGACGACTGTGCGGCAAATCGGTCGGCCTGGTTCTCGGTGGTGGAGGAGCGCGTGGCCTCGCCCACATCGGCATCATCCGCGCGCTTGAAGAAGCCGGCATTCCCATTGACATTGTGGGCGGGACATCGATCGGCGCCTTCTTGGGAGCGTTGTACGCCCGCGACGCCGATGTGGTGCCCATGTATGGCCGGGCCAAGAAATTTGCAGGCCGGATGGGCAGTATGTGGCGCTTTGCACTCGACCTGACATACCCTTCGGCGTCGTACACGACTGGGCACGAATTTAATCGTGGCATCTTCAAGACTTTCGGCGATTCCCAGATCGAGGATTTCTGGTTGCCCTTCTATTGTAATACGACGAACATTTCCAAGTCCCGTGCAGAGATCCACACCTCGGGCTACGCGTGGCGATATGTGAGGGCGTCCATGTCCCTGGCCGGTTTGATTCCGCCCATCTGCGACGAGGGATCCATGCTGCTTGACGGCGGGTACATCGACAACCTGACCGTTGCGCACATGAAGTCCCTCGGCACGGATCTGATCTTTGCAGTGGATGTTGGCGCCCTGGATGACGACACACCCCAACAATACGGCGATACGTTATCCGGATTCTGGAGCCTGTTGAACCGCTGGAATCCATTCAGCAGTATCCCGAACCCACCTACGCTCAGCGACATTCAAGCCCGTCTCGCGTACGTGAGCTCGGTGGACGCTCTTGAGAGGGCCAAAGCCACGCCAGGGTGCGTGTATATGCGTCCGCCGATCGAAGCGTACGGGACGTTGGAGTTTGGCAAGTTCGAGGAGATTTACGAGGTCGGGTACGCTTACGCGAGGGAGTTCTTGACGAGATTACGGAATGAGGGATCTCTTACCGGCGTGATTGACGCGTGGGTCGGAGGCGATGTCGAGGGCGAGGAGGGCAAGAAGCTGTTGAGGGGTTTGGCGCCGAGGAGGGCTAGTATATAGAGAGTATACAGTAGATTAGAATCAAACCAGATGCGAAGATGTAGGGGATGTTGGTGCTACCTATAGTGACTTGGTGAGCTGAGTTGGATGAGTTGGCTGAGTTGGCTTGATCTTGTAACGCACCGCGAGCCCCTTCGCGATCGTAACAAGCATAAAAGCTAAGAGGGTCCAAAACCCAGCATACAGTAAAGTGTTCGAATTCTCAGTCTTTTTGGGGTGATCCGTAGAGGAGAGGCTGTGGATGTGGAACTTCCTCTCCTTGACAGATCCTAAAGCCGAGGCAATGTCTACTACGAACCGAAAGATGACATCGAAGTCGAACTCGAAGTCGAAGCTGGCAGCGTTGACTCCTCGCGACAGAGTCACTACGCTACAACTACGCTACGAGTAAGTATATGATTACTACAGTACAGTGTGCCCTTGAATTTCTCCTAATGAAACCTAGAGCGCTAAAGTAACGCCAGGCAGGTATAAGCAGCGACGTTTCTCTTTGAAGCATTGGAAAGGGTTGCAAAACCTGTTTACGAGTACGCCATCATGTTCCAGGCGATCGAGAGTTTCTCTCTGGGCACTGACACTGACTGTTGTATTGGCTGCATAGAGGGGGCGGGGGGGACCACAGAGCGTCTCACAGGTAACTCAACGGTATGAAGATGCTGATTAATCTAAGTGGGAACGACGTGAGCGTGAACATGGACAAGAAGCACTCAGCTAGGTCTCTCCCCTCTACAGGCCTCCCTCCCACCCACCGTTAGGAAGTCCTACTCACGCGTCTTGCCGTCATGGCCAGCTGGCTGGCAGGCTCTTGGATGGGAAGTGCATTTGTGAATCCTACGAAGCCTTCTATATGTATGTATATTCCTGTGTGTGTGTGTGTGTGTGTGTGTGTGTGTGTGTGTGTGTGTGTGTCCAATCATGAACCTCACAGGGCCCTTCGTGTCTATAGAACACACGTCCAGCATTGTAGAGGTCCCGGCGAACATGCAATTTTTTTTTTGGTATACAACAAGCCGCATCGTGACCCTTACATTCCGTGACACGGCATGACTGTTGTGGATGACTTGCTGGTGTAGAGCGGCTACTATCGTCCGCTCTTTGCCAACTTGGCTCCGGCCAGTGTCGTCCACTCTTTGCCCGGTATGGGAAGTCAACTCGGCGACGGCCAGAGAGATGAGCCAGGAGATTCCGCTGATAATTACGATATCCGTTCGACCTTTTCGTAAACAATTCTACACCATGCTCCACTGATATCACAGACGGAGAAAGCAACTGCGTTATCGGTTGCACCGTGCGCGGCGCTGGCGGTGAGTGCCTCGTGCATCTGTCAGAGGATGTTGTTGAGTACATCCAGTAGCAGCACCGGCGTTCTCCTGCAAAGTACTCTGTACTGACTAGTGTATCATGAGGAAGATATACTGTGGAGCTCAAAGATGACACGACGCGGGCGATGACACAAAAACAACTATAACCATTTGTAGGCAACGTAACGAGAGACAGCCAGCAGTTCAGTGCCAGGCGTATTGTATTCTTGTGATGATCCTCTGGTCAATTAGCTACGCTGCGGCTGGCAGGCTGGATTAGAGCTGTGTGATGCTGGGATGCCGAGATCGTTAACCGTGTATATCGCTACCACTTCAGTGGTCTTAAATCAAACTCCCGCCAAACCTGCTGCGCGTGTTGTTGCAATATAGACGAGACTAAGGATCAGAAATGTGTTCCGACGGTTTAGGATCAACTCCCGTCTTGGACGTAGATTTGGATGCTGCTGGACGGTAAACATGGATATCATGCATGGGCTCTGGATCATTCCAAGACGCCAAAATGTGGGAAACGAGGAGGAAACAGACTCGTGGCAGTACCCGTACCAAGTACCAGTATCAGTAGCATGCACGATAGTGGTCGCCACGAGGTAAGCAGCCCTCATCCTGCAGGATGAAGACGTGAGATCCAACGCGTTCATACATACGTACTAGTAGTCAGCAAGTAGGTGGAAATTAGCTGTGTCTTGGGCTCGCCTCAACTCGCAGGTCTATCCCGCTTGCAGCTCCTGGAGGATGGTATTGATTGTCTCCTTGCTGGACACGTCCACGGAGTAGAGGGCGAGAGCAACAGTCGAGAATGGTAGTCGTAGTCGTAGCCGTAGCCGTAGCCGTAGCCGTGATGGTTCTGCAGTAGCCGGCCGATTTGAATCGAGTCGGACGCAACGACTTGCCCTCGACGTCGTGTCCCGGACGTGTTGAGCTGATGAATTCCGAGTCGAACAGCGCTGAGTAGCTACATACCTGTACATTGCCACGATTGCCCTGCCGACTCCTCATTTCTTGGAGAAAACCATCGCGACTTGCCGTGCCGATCATCCGCAGGAATCGTACTTCTGTAGGTGTAAAGACGCGCCACGGCCTATAGGATGAAAACCCTCGAACAGCCGGTCGAACTCCGTCGGACTTAGTAATCCATCTGGCGCCATCCAGGGATGAATGACACCATGGATGCAAGGAATTGTATATAACAGATGGTGATAAGGCAATTAACAGAAGAGTCGGACGGAGAGCGCTGGTTCGGCAAACACTTACACCCCGGCGCACGCACACGCACACAACATTGGACGCGCCCGCCATGGGCTATAAAGAGAAACTCGAGGGTCAGAAGATCATCGTCGTGGCAGGGAGTACAGGGTAAGTCCAAAATCCCCAGCACCACTAGCAGCCCTTCCCTCTCCCCGGGTTCGCCCGTACTCACCCCGACTGTCTCTAGAATCGGCTATGGTGCGGCCGCGGCGCTCCTCGACGTAGGCGCCAAAGTCACCATCATCTCGTCGAACCAGGAAAAGCTCGACGCCGCGCTCAAGCAATTGAGCTCGAACTCCCCGGACGTCAAGGGCGTGGTCAGCGATGTCCGAGACGAGGCAGCTTACACCAAGACGCTTCAGTCGCTGGCACCGGTCGACCACGTCGTGTTCTCGGCGGTGGACAACATCATCCGAGGCAAGTTGGAGGATCAGAGTCTCGATGACGCGAAGCACTTGTTCGGTGTCAAGTTCTGGGGCGCCGTCACCACAGGTAAAGGTACAGACACACTTGCAGAGAAAAGGCCCGTGTTACAGTCATCCCGTTGCAAAGAAAGCCACGTGTTATAGTCTGCGCTCACCGACGCGAAACAGTCCTCATGAAATACGACATCGTGCGCCAGGGAGGCTCCCTGACCTTGACGTCGGGCACCGCCGGGATAAAACCCGGCAAGAATGCAGCGATCGGAGGTGCCCTCAATGGAGGGGTGCTCTCTCTGACGAGAGGGCTGGCGGCAGACCTGTCGGAGAAGAAGATCCGCGTGAACACGGTGGTGCCGGGTCTGGTCAAGACGCCTCTGTGGGACAAGCAAGGCAAGACGCCAGAGGAGCAGGTCGAGATTTTCAACGCGGCCAGCCAGAAGCTCCCCGTCGGCTTTGTCGCTGGGCCTGAACATATCGCTGAGGCGTATCTGTATGCGATTCGCGCCGACTACACCACTGGGAAGTTGATTGAGATTGGTGAGTCTGATGTGTTGGGGCTCGGGTATTCGCGCTGACGTTCTTCAGATGGAGGTGTCCTTTTATGAATCGGCTAGCATTGGCTCGCATGCGAGATGTCAGTCACAAATATCGTGAACGCTTCAAAGAGCTGTTGATTGGGCTGATTTGTGTCATCACTTTCGTAGACTGTCTGTTCCTTGATGCCGATTCGCTTCTCCGCCTGCTTCCAAGCTTTCCCGCCTGTAGGCATGCTTGCTCTCTGGGGCCATGCGTCCATGGTTCGAGTGATGAAGAGCGACCGACCGCGTATGGCGTACCTGGGTCATGTGGAATCCCGAAGTGGGGGCAATTGGACCTTCGAGGCGAAACAGCGGGTAGCATTGGAAGATGAGAATGAACCGCAACGGCCAAGGAAGACACTGAGGCTAGCGATTTAGATCTTTGCGCCGCCGAGAACGGCCCTAGCTAGCTCTTTACAGGTGTCTACTTGACCTTCGGAGAGATAAGGATCTTGATCTGATCGTCTTTGTTGGTGATCAATTCCTCAAACCCTTTAGACTGGGTATCTTCAAGTGATATTCGACTGGTCACCATTCGCTCATATCCTTTGAACGCACCTGGATGCGATTAGCAGTCGAAAATACCGGTGGGACAGCATCGGACTCACCCTTGCTCATCAACTCCATGACCTCCTTGAAATCCTCTTCATTATAGCAGCAGGAACTCCTGATGTTGATCTCCTTGAAGAAGAAGATCAGGAACTGAATCTGGATCTGCAACACAGTGTCAGTATGAGGGTAGCCGCGTCCTCCAAGTACCAGACTCACCGGCTTTTCCCAGACAGCGACATTGACAAAGGTGCCCGAGTGTTTGAGGGCATCGAACCCGGCTTCCAGTCCAGGTTGCACACCAGCACAATCAAACACGACATCCACACCTTTGCCACCAGTCAGCTCTCGACAAACGTCCCCAACCTTTTCCGAGCGTGGATCGATGACCCTGTCGACGACATCTTTGTTCTGCTCCTTTCGTTTCGCGGTCGGCTCGCTCAAGAAGATCCTGCCCACTTCGTGCGCCCGGAGGATCGAAATCAGAGCACTGCCCACGGGTCCTCCACCCAGGATCAACACGTCCAGGCCTTTCAAGTTGACGCCCGCGACCTTGGCGGCATGGTGACACACCACCAGGGGTTCGATTACCGCAGCATACTCCAGGCTGACCGTGTCTGGCAGGGGCAGACAATGAGCCTCCTCGACTGCAACAAACTCGGACAGTCCGCCCCCAAGCTTGTTGCTGCCTCCTAGAAAGGCAAGCTTCTGGCACATTTGGTCGTTTCCAGAAGTGCAACAGAGACACTGTCGGCATATACAGTGCGGGTCGACCATGACAGCCTGGCCGACCTTCAATTTCGACCCCTCGGGGACGGATTTGAGACGACCGCAGAATTCATGCCCTAAAGTGATTGGTTTCGGGTCCCCAGTCTTCGGGTCGACCGTCGGCATCAAGATCGGTCCTGTGATAGACCAGTGACTGTCAGTGGATGCTCTCATTGACATGATGGGCAGGTTTAGAAAGAATACGTACCCGCGGCGTACTCGTGCAAATCACTGCCACATATGCCGCACCATTCTACTTCGACGACACATTCGCCCGGCCCCGCTTCAGGAAGAGGCACATCCTCGACGCGAATGTCTCTGTTGCCGTAGAATCGTGCCGCTCTCATGGTCGTCATTTTGAGGCTCGTATAACGCAAGCTTGGGGAGTAAAGCACGGTCGTGTCACAGTGTACGAGTATCTCTCCGTCCTTCGAGATCAAGATCGGTACAGAGGACTGAATCTGGGACCTCGGACTGCTGGCATGGCAGCCAACAACTGCATATGGAGAACCTGGCTGCGCGAGATCTGCCGTCTCCAACCTCGGACAAATGTCTCCGGCATTGTACTGGAACGTGGGGAAGGGACGGGTCCAGGCCAGTGGGCAGCATGAGCGGGATAACCCACTACCCGCATCAGATACTGTGGCATGGATATGAGTGTGTAAGAGGTGCGTAAGAGGTGTAAAACGTACTCCGTACAGTCAGACTGAGTTGAGTAATGGGCAGGGCGGGTCGCAGTTGCCGTGGCCCAACAATACCTCAGACGGGGGCAAGTGGCGGGAAGACCTCTCACGTGATAGCGTGTTGTATTCTCATCACATGACACGCTCCTTCACGTGTTCAATGCGCGCCTACATACTGTAACTACAGCCAGTTCTTGGATGCAGAGTGCCTGAGATCGGGTCGACCGCTGCAATCACACTGCATGGCTACGCAGACAGAGACACTGGTGAACGGCTGCAAATTGAAGTGCGCAGTGGCAAAAGCATTCAATAGGCCAAACATTGAAGTGGGATACTGCATCTCCAAGACAGTAAACTATGTAGATGCAAAATTGTATGCACCATGAAACCACGGGATTTCAATATATGAACATGTCAGTGTGTATCGTCGTGGCGCCTGACATCACAACCCCTCGTCCTCTCCGTAGAAGCTCCAGTATGCAATAGGGGAATATCAATACAAAAATTGTGGAAACGGCCAGACACCTCTCAACGCTACAACATGACGGTCGGCCTTTCTCGTGCATATCGCGGCAGGGGCGCCTTGATACTGCTGTCGACCAAACAGCGCAAACCAATCATGGAATCCATTATAACAGGCCGACAATACCAGCCGCGACAACCGCAGCCATCAAACCCTGGCTGAGGACAACAGGTCGCGCGTCGTTAGAAGCAGATGCCGATTCTATATCACCCGAGGAGCCTCCGGTGGATGTATCGTTATCGTCGTTGCCCGAGTCGTCGTCCGAGGAGTCGTCCAAGAACTCTGCACCTCCGTTGCCTGTGCATATTTCACCGATTGGGCAGCACCCATAGACACCATTGTCTCCCTCCTGGCACACGGACTTGGACGTTTGGCATCCTCCCTCCAGATCAGGGCAGCAAGTGTAAGTGCCAGGTATGCAGAATGCGCCGCACACTTTGTCGCCTGTTTCGCAAGCGGTCGCGTTTCCAGTCGCACGGGTGAGGAGTTTGTGCTCAGTCCAGGCAGAGGCCAGGAGTGGCAAGGCGGCAAAGAGGACGAAGGAGCGCATTGTGAAGTGGTTCGAAGTGGTGGATATACTTGGTTCGTGCGTTGAATTGAGGGTGATGCTTCTCAAGAGAGCGAAACTGTATTTTTGTCTTCTGTAGCTGGCGACCGCGAAAGCGAACTGAAGGTAAAGAGAGAACGCGCACGTAATAATTGCAGGTGGCTTGCACAAGAAGGATAATAATAATGAGGGGCTTTAGAGTATCAACGATTCCAACGTTGACAAGAGAAGGGCTGGGGCATCGAGAAGCAGAAGCAGACGTCCACGTAGGCCTGGGGAGAGTGATAAGTACGTGGATTGGAGGGCCAGACGCAGCGTCGCAGTCTGGGCTGGTACATCGGCTGGCGACCGAGGGCAGGGGATCTACCTTTGCAGCCCACTTGGTTCCTGCGAGAAACCAAAGGATGAACGCCGCGGCCTCAACGGGACTGGTCAGTCTGACTAGCCATTGCTGGGGTGATCTTGAGCTGGCGGATAGACAGGTCAAGGCATGTGTAAAATTGCGCCCACGAGACACCGGTCACAACTTCTTGTCTGCAAAACTAGGTTTTGCAGGGAGGGCTGTCGGGAGGCTGGGCTGGACCAATAGGCAGCGTCAAATAGACTCTTGTGTGACCGGATGGAGGCCAGGGAGGCAGGACACGAGCATGACCGACTCAAGGCCGCGGGCAGGCTGAAGCTTGGAAGGGAAAGCTCTTGGAGGACAAAAAGTCGAACAAGACTCGTGGGCGCAGAAGCGAAACACGACCAAGCCAATTTCCAGGGGAGAGGCGCCAGTGGGAGGAGAGGAAGAGAGAGAGGATGTTTGAGAAGGAACGACCAGCAACGAAACAAGAAGCGGCGGGTTGCTTGGCGTGCGACCGCCCGTCGTTCGGGAGATTTGGCCAAGCGAGGGAAAAGGGGTCTGGGAGACGCTGGGAACCTGCAGCCACATGCACCGATCAGCCTCATAATTAAAACTCAGAATCCTCTTGGTGTTGCCAAGATCTGCCACACCACCCTTCCAGTATTGGGCACACCAAGAGAAGTCCAGCCAACTGACGGAGTAGAACCATGTTGCCGGTGAACCTATTTTACACAGCCATTATTACCGAAACAGGCCCAACAAACTAATAAGCCTAATTAAACCGCTCTCCAAGCTTACCATCACCAAATCAGTAACACACTAATAGAAGACCCCAACCGCTATGCAAACTGCTGCCGCACGAACACACCACAACACACTCAATCTTCCCCAGGTAAGACTTTCTGTTTGCTGTCAATTACCACTCCCGTACCCACTGTCAGCAGCGTCGTCGAGCGCCTGGTTCACCAAGGCATCCGCCTCCTTGTTCCACTCGCGGCCGACCCTCCAGAATCGCACAGCGCCCTCCTTCTCCATCTGGGTGATGGTTGCGTGCATCTCTCGGATGAGCTCTCCGTGTTCAACAGGCGTGCCCTTTCTGGTCATGAAGCCGTTGCGCTCCCAGGTCCAAATGTAGTCGCAGAGACTTTTCGCGACATAGTCCGAGTCGAGCTTGATGATCACTTCACGCCAGCCATCCATCTCCCCCATGCGCTTCATGGCCTGCACAATCTCAAGAGCTTTGTGCACTCCTTCAAGTTCGGCTCGTGAACTCGTCTGTGGAACGTTCGGAGGAAGTAGGCCGTGTGCATTACGATGACAATTTGGACCAAAGTATACTGCGTAAGCTGCCCGAGACTTGGGATCACTTCGATTGTTGCCGCGAGAGCCGCCGTCGACCGAGATGACGATCGTTCGCATCCGTGGTTGCCAATGAGCGCCTGGGAATGGGAAGTTGTAAAGACGACAATACTTCCATTTAGGACTGTACTTGACCAGGTAATCTGGGTCAAAGGTTTGCCGTCCATATCGCCGAGTCTTCCTGGGATTGAAGTTGCGGCGTGGTCGTTCCTAGGATGACATCAGTTTTTAGCGTCAACACTACCCAAGGTAGGTCACGTACCATTTCCATTGCTGAGCTTTCAAGCTGCAGGCTTGTGTCAGTGCCGTTCTGGCTTGGTGGTCAAAGCTGGAGGGTTGAGCAGCAAGGCCGGGGAAGTATGTCGGAGTTTTATCTTCATCATCTTCTTCACTGCCCTGAGGGCCCGGATCTTGGCAACGGTGTCTATCCGAGAGATCAAACGGATCAAACATATGCCAAACATAATAGTAAGTGACGTCCAGCACGTTGCATTTACTTAGATATAGAAATTGGAAGGCAACAAACCGTAAACCGTGATGGTATGGGGAGTTTGTTTCGTGTTTGCGGGACTGTGCAGCGGAAAGCAGATATTCCGGATCTACAGGTCAGGAAGGGGCTTCCGTGTTTGAACCTGAGTCGCTCAGCTCACTGCACCCACGCGGTAAGCACACGGAGGACATGCTGAAGCTCCTATCCGCGTGGCTGTGAAGGACGCGAAGCTCCTGGCTTGAAAACGTGTAGTCACAACTGTAGCCGGACGTTTGACAAGCTGCGTAACGAGGGAAGTGGGATGAAAGATGACTGAGTTGGAAGTGAGAACAGACTGAAGAAGTCCGCAGTTGATGTTCCTTAGTGCAGGCTCCTACTAGTGTTGCTCGATTTGGCGAGTTAGCCGAGAATTTGTACCTCTCGAACCGCAGCTTCAACCGAAACGGAATTTCTAGACACACTATTCGGATTGCTGCGACAGAGAGCAACCATGATAATTAGACAGTTCTGCGCCCGCCATGGTAAGTTGAGCTCACAGCGATGTATGACTCGAGCTAAACTCGACTAGGGCGCACAGTGTTGGCGCAGTCGTCCCGGGGGCTCAAGCGAGCCTATGCGACCAGCATCTCAGACGACAATCCTATATTCCGACCATCAGAAAGAGACCCCAAAGGGACGACTCGGATACCAGGTCACCCTGACGATGTCTCGAGTATCCTCGACACGGTCGATCGCGCTTCGACGCCCGCGACCAGGATCCTCGAGGATATGATCAACTCGCAGCAAGAAGAAATTAGCTCCCTTCGAGCAGACGTCAATGCCCACGCAGCTGCTAGACCGCCTGCCTCAAAGTCGATATCAACCACAACGTCACCCGCGAACACGCCCGATTCCCTCCCCTTCCGCAGCCTCAAAGACCTAAACCGACATCGCAGGTCCATCCAAAAAGCACACCGGGGGGGCACTCACCTCTCGCAAACCTACGACCCATCCACGATCCTTCGCCGACCTCCGACAGCTGACGACCTAACCCTCCCGATGCTACTAGCAAATCAGACGCACCTCGGTCATCATACCTCGTTATGGAACCCTTCCAACAGCGGCTACATTTTTGGCATCAGAGACGAAATCCACATCATATCTCTGGACATCACATACGCGTATCTCAAGCGCGCTGCGAAGGTCGTCCAAGCAGTCGCTGAGCGAGGCGGGATCATCCTGTTCATCGGCACAAGAGATGGCATGGAAGAAATAATCGTCAACTCAGCGAAGCTCGCGGAGGGATACCACATTTTCCACCGCTGGGTCCCCGGCTCCTTGACGAATGGTCAACAGATTCTAGGCAATGCCGCCGTCAAAGTCGTGGACGTTCATGACAACGAATTGACCAGATACAATGATCTCCTCTCCAGAGGCAATCACCAAGTCATGCGGCCCGACCTGGTCATCTGCCTGAACCCGATTGAAAACCAGGTATGCCTACACGAGTGTGGAGTCTTCAACGTCCCTACAATTGGAGTCATCGATACCGATGCGAACCCAACATGGGTGACGTATCCTATCCCTGCGAACGACGACTCATTCCGGTCCATTGCCCTAATAGGCGGAGTGCTGGGCAACGCAGGTAAAGAGGGACAAAGGCTGAGGAAACTCAAGGCCGCCCAATCGGGTGAGGCGACATATGACATTAGCCTGGTAAATGGAAAACTGCGCGCCTTGGAGGAAATGGCAGCATTGGACATTGACAACTCGAACGGGGCGGATGCCGACGCGAAGTGAGATTATTTCAACTCTTGGCTCTCTGTAGGGCAGGGACGAGGTTGTGCCACCGCCTTTAAATACCAACTTGGTATGACATGCTGGATGTTCGAGCGTGACCCTGTACAGTTGTTGCATGTACCATATAGTAACACGCTTCGAGATACCTACGATCTGCCGGTCTCAATTCTTCTCGTGTCTGTTTAATATTTGCATTCGGGTGGTTCTCTATCACAGAGGTCACATACATGGACCTTTCGAAACGGGACATGAACGTAACACTAAGACTCGGACGCAGAATATCCCGGACTGATTGCAAAATCTCAAACAGAGCGAGGCCAAGAATCTTAACACAGACGGAATACGGAGTACACACACCAGGAATCGAACTCTTCTTTCTCGACAATCTCATCTTTTCCATGTCTGAAGACGTCTCATGACGAAAATACCAGTACAATGATGACTTTCCTTACCTTGGGGCACGGAGGATTGCGGCATGCACGTCTCGGTACAATATCCAGATCATGGCTCTATTGTGAAGATTGACCTATTCCTGTGCAGACTCCGGAGTGCATGTGCGTATAATACTTACTGGAGCGGTGTCCTGGTTCTGATCGGATCATGTACGGCACAGAGGAGACATCACACCTCACCTTCTAGGCAGGGGATGAGCTGACTTACCTTTATCCACCGCTAGCGCTACCTCGTTCGGGTAGCTTGGCTTAGGCAGGTGGATGGATTCACCAGATTCTCACTTACGAAATTCTGTAAGGGCTCCCTTCTTGTGAGCACTAGCACCAGCGAGGGGTGGTAGGAAGGGTGTTTTGGCGCTGGTGTCGGCGGTGTGGTGGTGGCCGGGGCGGAGTAACCGTGGAGTAGGGACGACTGGGTCTTCTCGGGACAGCAGTTTTTGGTGGCGAAGGTGATGCCTTTGATCCTGGCGTGAATCCCGGAGCGCCAGGATGGGGTCTCGATGCAGCCCTTGCGGCGGCGGCGGCGGCTTTCATGCGGTCGGCTTTGGGCATTGTCGGTGCGCCTGGCATGCCGGTACCCATAGGGATAAATTCGATGCGGGCAGAGCTTGCTTGAGGCAAGGAGCAGCAATGACATGATGCCTGGTTCAAGTTTGGGGAAGAGCTGTGGGCGACCGAGGGCGCAGAAGAATGGTTTTCCGCGGGATTCGTGGGCTGCTCTTTCTGCTCGCCGAGTTCTCTCATCAGCTCGGTTCCCACATAGGAGGCGCCTCGAGATTCAAAGTCTGCATCATCTTCCACGGCCAACGTATCGGGGGTGTTTTCATCGGCTTGCAAGCCCACATAGGAACCATTTGCACTAATGGGGTTTCTGAGGATTGATTCCTTCTCTGGGAGGGAGGCCTTGGTATTGCTGCAAAGGTTCGAATCAGCAGTTCCAAGGCGATCGGCTGCAGTAGAAAAGGCGAAGAGTTCCCTTGCGTTTTTCCAGCTGCAGTCGGCACAGACAGTCTTGACTACTTCCACCCGCGGACTTCGGGGCAATGGACGCTGCAATCGGACTTTGCAAGGCGCGTGGAGAGGGCAGATCTGTTCTTTGATCTCTTCTTCGCTGACGTTCTTGACAAATTCACAGCAGCAAGGACAGTACGGACGAGTGACGAAGGTGTAGCACATGGTAGCGGCTTGGTTTCAAGTTCCGTTCCAAGATATCGGAGATATAGCACTAGGTAATAGAGTCAGTTGGATCGTGTCTCTAAGCACAGATTGTGGGAGGGTTATTTTGCGGTAATTGGATATGACATGGTGATAGGACTTTGTTGGGCATGAGGCGACTCTTATCTTGAGGTGTGCTGGGTCGCTGAAGGCTTCTTTGTATCACGGCTTCTGGTGTATGCTCAGTGGGTCGCGGCCTTTGTGTGAATCGGCAAGAGGAACAATAGCTCTTGGTATGCGTTGGCTTCGAGGACAATGATGATGTGCAAAAGGACAACCAGTGCCTCGTGTTTGGGACAATGAGTAACCGGTAAGTAAACAAGGAGGTGGTTGAGCATTCATTCGCGACGTCTACCCCGCCTGAAAATCAACGGCTATGGCACTGTTCCGCGGCTGATTCTCGCCACACATGAGTCCAACAAGAAGTCCATGCCTTCAACAGCAACACCGAAGTTCGCTTTAGCAAGTTGACGGGGTCGAGCTGGAAGCTGTGAGAGCGAAATGGATGCTGCAGCCACCTCCACTAGCACGTGACTAGCACGTGAATTCCACCTTCATCGACACTTGACCCGCAGTATCCATCGCTCCCTCTTCCATACTCCGCAGCCCCTCTCAAATCTCAAGCACCTTCAATGGTGATCATATCTCTTAGTCTGACAGAAGCAAGTCTGTTCAACGTGGGGATCTGGGGCGCCTAGGCCGCTGGTGACGACGAAGGATTTCCTCGTGATCATCCACCTTACGTATTGCGCCTTATCTCCGCGCTCTTGCTATTCGCTTATCTTGATTATCGGTTGCATTTTCCCTCTTAGCTACTGGTCCCTGCAGCCCTTATCTTGGAGAGCAACGTCTGCCATAGGCTTGATAGCCCTGGGCGAGGCTTTCGAAGCTTATCAGCACACAAGGCACGGGCAGGAAGGCTTGCGACGCCACTGTGCGCCATCGGGATATCTACACCAAAAGCCCTTCAAATATGATTCAGCACCTTCCCTGCTTACTGAGTTTTGTCCGCACTGATTCGACTTCAACGTATACTCCTACCACCGCCCAACATGGCTTCCGGCGAAAAAGACTACTACAATGAGAAGAATCTCGCTCCCGCCGTCGTCGAGCCTGCTCAAGTTGGTCACGTGTCGAACTTCAGGAGACGCTTCCCGCACTTCAGCCTTGAGGTCCGTCAAGAGGAGAGCAGCTTTGCCGTCACAAAGAGCGCCTCCAATGCCGATTTCGACCCGATTCCTCCATCAAAGCGCACATGGAACTGGGGCGCGTACATCGCGTATTGGATGGCCGACGCGTGGGCCGTCTCAAATTGGGAAGTTGGTAAGTGCCTCGCGATGTGATCCGTCTGTTGAGTCAGAGAGAGCAACAATTCTGAGACTTGGGTTGCGCAGCTTCTTCTATGATCGCCGTCGGCCTCAGCTGGAAAATGGCCATCGGCGCCTGTGTCCTGGGCAATACTATCATGGGTCTCGTCATCACCGTCAACGGGAGAATGGGTGCTATCGTAGGTTGTGCCTCCAAACGCTTGAACTGAGCTTATGCCGAATAGCTTCACACTCCGTTCCCCGTTCTGTCACGCATGCCTTTTGGCTACTACTTCAGCTACTTCGTGGTCTTGTCTCGTTGCGTCCTCGCCATCGTGTGGCTCGGGTTAGTGTATCCCAGCAGTGACTTCATTGCACCCAGAGGCTGACTGTACATAGTGTCCAAACAACGACTGGCGGTCAATGTATGACCGTCTTACTCACAGCAATCTGGCCCAGCTTTGCCAATATCCCCAATCATATACCCGCCGACGAGGGCATCACTACGGGAGGAATGATAGGCTTTTTGCTCTACTTTCTGCTTCAGCTTCCCTTCCTATGCATACCTTACACTAAGGTATGGCTCCGCAGCTTGCAGTCCCACTGATTCACGGATCCGACTAACAGCACTAAGGTCCAATACTTCTTTGCCTTCAAGAGCGTTATTGCACCTATAATTTTCTTTGCCATTTTCGGTGACACGTTGCGCAGAGCCGGCGGCACTATCAGTAACAGTACCGTGATCACAGAGGGCAACAAAATAGGCGGTTCAACCCTTGCGTGGGCTTTCTTCGCCAGTGAGTCGTGCTTGACCCTCGCCATCCTTCGCTCCCCCTCTGACGCAGAGTGCTCCCTTCCAGATCTCAACGGAGTGCTGGGAAACTACGCTACCTTGGGCCTGAACATTGCCGACTTTTCGAGGTACGCCAACAAACCCAGCGCTCAGAACGTGCAAGCCATCGTCATACCTTTCATCTTCAGTAAGTTCCCCATCGGGAATTCTCACAGCGGTCTTGCTCATCCTTCGGAATCACAGCTATCGTTGGCTTGCTTGGAATCTTCACTGCTGCGGCCGCCCAGTCGGCATATGGCGACATTATCTGGAATCCCATCGAAATTATCGGTCTCTGGATGGAATCGGGATCTCACGGTGGCCGTGCTGCTGCCGCATTTGGTGCCATCGGCTTGATCATTGTTACGCTCGGTATCAATATCTCGGCCAATTCCATAAGCGCTGCCAACGACCTCATGTCGTTTTGTCCCAAGTACATCAACATCCGCCGTGGCCAACTGCTAGCCGCTGTCATTGGTAGCTGGGCCTTTGTTCCAGTAAGTCTGCCTGTCTCTTCGGAAAGCTACCACGGCCTCGCTGACCAGAACCGTAGTGGAAAATTCTCGCATCAGCTGCAAAGTTCCTTGCTTTCCTCGGCGGCTACACCATTTTCCTGGGACCCATGACATCCATTCTTATGACCGAGTTCGTTCCCCCAAATTCCAAACAAGGCCCAGGTACCACGTTCATAAGCACTAACTCAGCCGCAGCTACTTCATCGTCCGACGCGGTAACGTGTCCGTACCGGACATGTACAACTTCCACGGCATCTACCGCTACTCACCCAAGTTCGCTACCAATTGGCGCGCCGTTGTCGCCTTCTTCATCGGCTGCATTCCCCCACTTCCCGGCTTCGTCAACAATATCGTTGCGGCGGGCAATGGCAAGACAAGTGTCTCTTTGGGCGGTCAACACCTGTGAGCCTCTTCCTTTTCCTTCACCCCACGCCCGAATACCTTGCTCCCCGGAATGCTTGGCACTAGCTAATGTCAAGCGCACACCAACCGGAGCCACGCTAACATTATGCTTTTAACAGTTTCTCCATCGGCTATGTCTACTCCTTCGTCGCCGCCGGCGTCTTCTACTGGATCTTCAACCGCTTCTTTCCGCACACTGAGTCCATGATGGACCACCCAGAGACGGGAGAAGAAATCATCGCAGCGAATGATGCCAAGAATGTTGCAGAGCGTCGTGCCAGCCTGGTCGAGCGAAGGCCAAGTGCGGTTACTAGGTTCTTCCAAGTTTAGAGGGTGGAAGTTCATTCGTCTGCACGACTTAGCCGGACATCGTTAGTTGTGTTTGTGATGGTTCGCATCATTCACATTATTCGGCGTGTCGGAGCCCTGGCCACCATAGATGAGGAAGTATCTGTGCTGGGGCAATGGTGTGAGGGGGAAACGTGAGACTCAAGAAGCCATAGACCAGCACCAAAATGCATAGATCAAATCGACTTTGACCCCACATATGGTGAAGACGTATCAGCTGCTATTGAGAAGCGTTACGCTCCTTTTGCTACATGCCCTGTGCTGAGAAAATCAATATAGAACTTGCTGTACGCTCGGTCGAGAAGCGTTACAGTGCCTTCTCTTCCGCTATAACCCAGGTGCTGTGGTGGAAGGAGTCGGCCGCCGTAGAGAAATGTCGCCTCTCTCCCGCTATAACCCTGGTAGTGAAGACCCTGACGTAGAGTAGACCCCACTCGTGATGGTATCGAAGCCTTTTGCTGGCCCTAGAATTGGAGGTGGGACACATTGTACACAGTAGCTGGAGAAATCGTGCTTGCCGGGGAGACGCATGGAGAGGGGTTAGCCACGAGATAGTCCACCAGCAGACAGACGAAGCAAAGTCTCGAAGCTCTCTCGACGTGTCACTCAATGAACATCCATACTTCGTACTGTGTACTCGGTACGGAGTACTCGTACCTAGTTTCAAAGAGCCCGGGGGGGAAAAGAAAGCGCTAAGCCGTCGGCTGCGGCAAAGGCCGCCCGAGTGGCGCCTTGGCATGATCGCTGTCGTCATTCGTCATTCATCAAGTTGTCGCCCAGCAGCCTCTGCTCCTTGCCTTTCCACTGTTTCCATCGTCAACAGTAGGTACCTAATATGGTGACATGACTCCCAGTGGGCTCTGCGCCTTGTTCTCTATTGAGCGTCCTCTCTGAAAAATGGTTTCGGCTCAATTCTTTGCTCCGTTGAGCTGATGCAATGTCCCCGCCGAGCTCAAGCTTTCACTCGTCCAAGTTCCTAGAACATCCGTTCCATAGACCCACCGCACAACCATGTCAAGGACATATTTGGGAACGGCAAAATCTGGCCTCAAAATCACGCACAAATTGCCGGGGTGTAAGTACCTTGATGAGCATCATCCAGGGTCTGACTCGGCTCACTGACTCATGTTGTAGAGCTCAATCGGTAGAGCGTGTGGCTCTTAGACAAGACCAACCTCAAGGTTGCGGGTTCGAGTAATTGCAATCTGTACCTGGGGGTTAGGCATCAATATTGACAGTAATTAGGTCCCGCCTGTGAGTACTAAAGCCAAATCACGAATGCGGTGACTTCTGGACTAACAATATCTCTAGTCGGCTCAAGTCCGTTGTTAAGACATACCTTTTTTGCCCACGCTTGGCAGATTCTGGGGCTCTCTTCAGCATTCAGCGCACGTGCTATTTAGCTGAGCAGAGCCTACGCAGTCTCATCAGCTATGGCAAACCTCATATGCTCTCACTGACGTTGTTGGCTCGTTCCAACTTTATACCCTTGAGACGTTTCTTTTATGCCCCCGCGTATCGACGCCATGCACGTTTCCTGAGCTAGGCTCCTGGCGC